TGTGATGGGGCTGTGGGACGTGAGCAAGGTGGTCGGGGTCTGGGGGGATTTTGTCGTGACCACGATGGAAACTTTATTTGTGGTTTCGCATCTTTTGGTCCCCCTGGTCTGGATGTTTTGGGCACTGAGTTGGTAGCTGTCCGGGAAGGTTTATTGATGATGGGTTACATGGGTTTTACTTAGTTTACCATTGGTCTTAATTCTCAAGAAGCTGTTTCTATTCTTAAAGATGGGTTGGATTGGTGGAGTAATATTGGTAATGTGGTGGAGGATGTTCGTCGGTTAATGGTTGATCGAGAGGTGGCTGGAGTGTTCTACCAACACCGGAAAGGTAATGGGGTGGCACATAGTCTAGCCTAGCATGGGTTGAGAATGAGATCTCGACTTTTTTGGAAAGACCGTGCTCCTCTATGGTTAAGCATTCTTTTAGAAAAGGATATAGCTATGGTGTAGTTCATTGTTTGTTTTTTGAGATGCGGTGGTACTCTTTTTCCTTGACCGGATTTTCCCCTATTTGGGGTTTTTAATGGCAAGGTTTTAATGAGGCCACACTAACGCTCTCCGTTCGTTTGTAAACTTTATCGTTGGTTGGTGCTACGGTTGAATGAATCTTTCTATTTGATCCAAAAAAAAAAAAAAAACTCCTGCAATTGTTCTTCTTCTTTTCTTTTTTCTTCTTTCTTTCTCTGCAGTTTCTCCACCCAATTGTATAGGGTTTTTTTTTTCCCTCTTCCTTACTCTAAGTTTGGTTGGTTTTGGTGGTGGCTTGAGAAAATTCGGGGTTGGGACCTGCGAATTGAAGGGTAGTCTCATTGTTGAGTTGGAGGGTTTGTTGGGAGAGGCTGTAGGAAGCAATGAAACATGTGGATGGCGTATAAGAAGACAGGGTTGAGAAAGAAAGTCACCTTAAATTGAATTAAATTGATTTTGAACGATTTTGATTATTATGTAAAGATCAGTTAAGTCATTATAAAGAGAGTCTACAAACAAAAAAAACAAAAAAAAAATCTTCTGTTTTGGAGAGTTTGTTCAGGGTTTAGAAAGGAAGAAAGAAAAACCAAACCTGTGCAATTGGGTGGAGAAGCTACAGATATATAAATAAAAAAAAGGAAAAAAAAGAAAAGAAAGAAGAAGACTAAGGCCTAGTTTGGGATTGCTGTCACTTTTAAAAAAAAAGTTGTTTCTGCTGTACTTTGAAAATAATTAGCTGTAAAGTAAAGAAACTCAATGTTTGGTAAATAATATTTTTAAAGTGCTGTTATTACAAAAAGCAGTGTCAAAACCGTTTGGTAAATTTTAATATAAAATTTTTATAACTGTAAATAATGACTAAAATAGACATGATGTTGAAAGTGTTATGTACTAATCATGTGGTGGTAGTAGCAGTGATGGAGTGGAGGTGGTGGTGGTGATGAAGATGGGTTGGTGGTTGTGATAATGGTGGTGGTAGGGATGGCGATTGTGGAGGTGGAGGTTGTGGTGGTGGTGGTGGTGGTGGTGGTGGTGTTGTTGGTTGTGGAGGTGGTGGTGGATGTGGAGGTTTTGGAGGAGGTGGTGGTAGTGGTGGTGGTGGTGGTGATGGTGGAGGAGGTAGAGGTGGAGGTGGAGGTGGAGGTGGAGGTGGTGATAGTAGTTGTAGTGGTGATGGTGGTGGTGGTGGTGATAGTGGTGGTGGTGGTGGATTTTGGGAATTAAAAAAATTCCTTAAATGTTCATCTCTGCTTCTTTTGAAAGCAGCTTTGAAAAGCAATTAAGAGTCTGCTGTTAAAAGCTGCTGTCAAAATGCCACTGCTTTTAAAATAATCAAGATATTTTATTTTTACCAAACACCTTAAACTGCTTAACTTTAAAGTGAAGCAGATTTTTGGCCAAAAAAAGCAATCCCAAACAAGGCCTAAACTGATTGGGGGAGTTATTGACCAAAAAAAAAAATTGATTGGGGGGAAGATGTTGCAAACAAAACAAACAGGGAAGGGGGAGAGGTTGAAGAGATAGGAAATAGAAAGGACAAGAAAGGTAAATGACGGCAGGAGTTGAGGTTCAAATTGTTAAGTTGCATTAGAGTTTTTTTTTCTTTTTAATTATGAAAAAATTCCAATCCATTGGATTAAATTTTAATAAGGTGGCATAAGTCCTTAAAAGTCATTTTACAAAGGACTAAATTTGTCCTTAAAATTGTGAAGATAAGGTGAGTGAAGAAATAGGAAAGGAGGGTGGAAATAGTAGCTCTCTTCATTAATAAGAAGAATCGATACAAACAAACAATCAATGATTTATTCCTTCTTCTGTTTTTTTTTTTACTTCATGATTTATTTTTCCAAAAAATTTAACTTTTAAAAAAATTGAAATTTCACAAAAATAATTTTATTTAATGTAAAAATATCTAAAATAGATTAACATATAGAGTGAGATGATTTTTGGAGTCGGATCTAATTTTGATAATTTAATAATATTATTTGACCGTTGGATTTCATTTTCAGCAGTTTGATGTTTTTTTTACTATTGAAATTGCGTAGATTCAATCTCAATTGTTATATCTAATTAAACAAATTTAAAAGGGTTAAATACTTTTTTCAGTCATTGAGTTTTACCCGAAAATTTAATTTGGTCACTGATAACCAAAGTTTATAATTTATAAAACATTCTATTTATCTTCTGTTAAGCGTAGTTTTTCTTTTTATTTTTTGGCAGCACCCTACACTAACTCAACGAGTTAGAGTATATTGTGCTCTTAAGGTTAATAAATTGGGGAAAATCTTGAGTTCAAATGGAAACTGTGAGGTGTATAAGCACTACATGAACGAAGACGTGTGTTATCGACAAGACTTTTTAAATCGGAATGGTGGATTATGCCGGCTTTGTTAATTCTGAGCCGTCGGCTTCAGCCCCCACCATGGTCTTGTCCCAAACAACTTTCGGAGCCATCGCCAATTCAACGGCTAATCAATCAACATTGAATTCCAACAGTAAGCAGATTCATTTCTTAAATTTATCTCCATATGGAGGGTGATGATTTATTTTTTAATGGTTTTGTTTTTTGGTTTTTTATGCAGGGTGTGATGTGGAAATTGTAGAAATGACGAGGCCTGAGGTGGGATTTGAATTTTCAATAATGTCATTGTCATGTAGGCATGGTGAGTGGAAGTAGGTGCAAGGAGATGGCGGAGAAAATTCATGTGTTTTGTATTCTAGTTATATATACTAGTCTTTTTGCACACGCTTCCGTGTGTGCGAGAGGCTTTCTTTTAATACAAATTTATAAATAAACCCAATTTTAGACATGTATTTATAAAAAAACTCAAGCACTATTTAAACATAGAAACACACCCAAAATCAACCCCAAAATTAACAATTGTATATTTTTTGGGTGTGTTTATAAATAAGTTTTGAGTGTGTGTAATGATGAGTTTTGGGTGTGTTTATAAAGTGTTTTGGGTGTTGAATTTTTTTATAATTTCAGCCCCCATTTTGGATGTTTTAGTGAAACTCCCTTCTTTTAATCACGCGCGCTACGTGCGACTTACAAAGTTTTATAAATATTTTTTGGCAATTGTATTTATATAGATCTCTGTTACAACAGATTCATATTTTAATCGTGTGCGTGTGATATATCGTCGTCTTAAAAGTTTCCTTTTATTCATTATTTTTCTAGACGTCCATCTTAGTAGTTCATTTTTTCTTTTATACCATGTAATCTGCTAAGATAGACGTCTAGAAATATACAATGGATAAAGGGAAACTTTTAAGACGACAATGTATCACACGCACGCGATTAATTTCTTTTTTTCTAGACGTCCATCTTAGCAGTTTCTTTTTTTCTTTTATAGTGTGTGAACTATTAAGATGGACGTCTAGAAAAATATGGGCGATAAAGGAAAACTTTTAAGACGACGATATATCACACGCGCGCGACTCAAATATGAAATTGTTGAAACAGAGATCTATATAAATACAATTGCCAAAAAATATTTACGAAACTTTGTAAGTTGCTCGTAGCGCGCGTGATTAAAAGAAAGCCTCTCGCACATGCGGAAGCGTGTGCAGAAAGGCTAGTCTATATAAAGCAAAAGGTAGAGAATGGTGAAACATTCAAAATATCAGAAAATGCCCTTGGTTAATTCAAATATTAAAATTGAAATTATTAATTAAATGAGGATAATATGGTAAATTCATATTTTTTAATATTAAAAAATATTAAAATTAAAAACAAAATCAGATAATAGGTCCTACTTTTATGGAACATAACTACCCATGTTATCTTTTTGGCAAATTTTCAAGTCAAGAACAAATTGTTAATGCATGAAATACCTGGATGTCGCTCATCTATATTACTGGGGCCTTCTTTAGTATTACAATCACGTACATTGTTCATTATTGGTCGTTTTCCTTGAGCTATTGCACGTCGGCGAGCTAGATAATGCCGATGTTGCGAAGAACTCTTTGATCGTTGCCATTCTCTTGTACGGTTGTGTGCACGCTCTATTAATAACTACAATATTTATTACTATTAGGTAATTACCAATAATTTAATCTATAATAATTGCCCATGTATAAGATTTAGTTACCTATATAATAATTGCCAAATATTTTAGTTAGTATAAATACCCTTGTGAATTTAGTTAATGTTTTTTTTATTAATTCGAACTTGTTACTTGTATGTAATAATTATCAATCTAACATGTTTTAATTCCATACAGCCTCTTGTGGCGTAAGATACTTATAGAAAAGACCTTAAATTTCTTAAATTTTAACAGTTTATCTTTACATAGATTCAGAATTTATGCACTAACATTTTACACATCTCCTTACGACACTGCATTAATATTTGATTTATGTTACAACAAATATATTTTTCACGTGCAAAAATATCTTCAAAATGGCTATATAAACCTTTCCCACAAAAAAAAAATAAAAAATAAAAAAATAAAAAATAAAAAATAAAAAATCTGCATATCTTTATCAAACCTTTACTTAAAAATTGAAGTTAAGGCATTAACTCATACGTTGAAAATGAACTTCTTCTATGAATCAAATAAGGTACATCGATTATTAATACAAATGATTAATTATTTACAAAATATAATACATATATTGCAAAGTTCAACCTTGAGCATGTTGAGGTTGTAGTCTTCATTGTTTTGGTTTATATAATAAAATCAAATACAAAGGAGCAAGCAAAATGATTTTCTCGGTTCAATGTTTTCATTGTTCTTCTTTGAGCTGCTTGTTGCTTTATTAGGTAAAAAAGTATGATTAGCAAACAAAGAAACTAATGTAAAGGTAGGTGAATGTGGGCGTATACCCATACCTAGCAATGGATAGATTGTTGGAAGAGAATCCTGCAACATGAGATTAGGAGCAGCATTAAAATGGGGGTAATTTCAATTCAGCAAAAACAAAAGAAAACAAAACCTAAAATTAAAAACATTTGCTTCAAATTGGACATTTTTGTTTGGGTGGTGAAGACAACTAGTTAAAGTTGAGAAATTATGCTAAAATTTGTTAATTAAATCGGGGGAAAAAAACAGAAAGAAAGAGAGCAGAAAACACGTAATAGTAGAGCCAAGTCAAATTTTGTGAAGGAATTTTGAGGGAACCCAAAAGAAAAAAAAATGTCAATAAAACAAAATGAAGAAACATTAACCTGAAAATTATCTTTGCTTTTTTGCTTTAGTGAATAAGTCAGAGAGGTGACAGACAATTGAATCTGTTGAGATAAAATTCCAAAGTTTCAATAAGACATGTAGATATGAAAAACTTCTTAATTTTCATATATCATACCTGAAGCAATTGGACGACAGCTTAACTATGATTCATACTGAAAAAAATAAAATAAGCAGTAACTAGAATGAAGCACAACAATCACATAATTATATAGCCTCAAAATACCTCCAACCAACCAACTTGAAGGAAATGCAATTTAGGTAAGCAAAAGCAGAGATCGAGAGATAAGGAAATTTGTTAATTTGATAAAAATATCCAGAAGACACAATATGAAACTGTAAATCTCCTTCTACTCACTACAATGGGGTTGGCTTAACCAACAAAGTAGAAAAAGAAATGCTACCCAGAGATGAAAAATATGTTCAATTGTTGAAACAAATACCACTGAGTTCCAAATCCAAGGTTTTGGCAACTACCCACTAAAAAGTCCAACACAAATCAGTGGCCAGTGTGGAAACCCCTACATCTATTAGCTGGAGAAACAAAGGAAAACGCCAGAAAACAGAATCAAAATTCTTACTTTATAAATTACCATAAATAACTTTTTTTTTGTATAGATACCATAAAGAACTTAAGCAGACCAAGTACGTGATTTACACCAAGTCAAATGCAGCTAGCTGATAATATCATTGAACCCAACAAAATTAATTCACAAAAAAAATCAAAAATCCCAAACCAAAATGAGAGAGAGAGATCATACCATTGACATCAAACACATCAACTCTAAATGCTTTCTTCATTGGTGCTCTAGCGAAACAACATCTATATATAATAAAAGAAATTCCATTAGGATCAAAAAATTAGAGATTAGTGATAGTAAACAGATCAAAAAGAGGAAGACATGGTGTAATATATGAGAAATTCAAATATCACAACAAAAAACAGATTCAAAGAACAACAACATTGAGCAAATTCCAATCAAATTCCAAGTGGCCCGTGAGTTGCAACCATGCAGTATCAATTAGAAAGCAAGTTAAAATATAAATAAAAATAGCCTAACAGATATACGTTGCTTATAAATAGCAATCTGTGAAAATAAAAGATGTCCAAAGCAGAGCAGTCAATGAAGAAGTAAATGCTCACTCTGCGCATTCACTCAATTTCCCTGTATTCTGGCTCTCAACGATCTTCAGAATCAATGATTTGTTCTTGTCCAAGTACGGCAGTAAAATTTAATGAAATCATGAACAATTAATTTAAACCATATATAAATATATAATCAAAGAAATTCCATTAGGATAAAAAAATTAGAGATTAGTCATGGTAAACAGATCAAAAAGAGGAAGACATGGTCTAATATATGAGAAATTCGAATATCACAACAAAACACAGATTCAAAGAACAACAACATTGAGCAAGCATATTGATGAAATTACTTCATGGAATTACTTCATTGTAGGTTGAACATGTTAGAGCTGAAAGGGATTTGCTTGCAGAGGTTGCTAGTCACTGCATTGTGAAACTCTACTATTCCTTTCAAGATGCTGACTACTTGTATCTAATCATGGAGTATCTACTTGGTGGCGACATGATGACTTTGCTTATTAGAGAAGAGACTTTGACTGCAACTGTTGCAAGATTTTACATTGCCCAAAGTGTTATGGCTATAGAATCTATTCATAAACATAACTACATTCACAGGTTGGTTTATCCAGTTGTTTACAGGCTTGCCAACATATTAGAAGCTGGATTCTCTTGAACAGCAATATTATATTAATAATTGTGCATCAGGAACATAATGTAACTCTTGCATTTGTTACACCAAGTCAAATGCAGCTAGCTGATTATCATTGAACCCAACAAAATTAATTCACAAATAAAAATGAAAGGGACAGAGAGAAACCAAGACAAAATTAGCCAAAATAGAGAAGATTAAACTTTGAAAATAAAACACCCAAATTCAGAAATCCTAACAAATTCACAAATAAGAATGAAAGAGACAGAGAGAAACCAAGACAAAATAGGCCAAAATAGAGAAGATTAAACTTTGAAAATCAAACACCCAAATTCAGAAATCCTAACAAATTCACAAATAAGAATGAAAGAGACAAAGAGAAACCAAGACAAAATTAGCCAAAATAGAGAAAATTAAACTTCGAAAATCAAACACCCAAATTCAGAAATCCTAACAAACAATCTAAAACTTGGAAGAGCACGTGTGATGACAAAAAAGAGATAGGATTTGAAATAATAACCTGATAAATAACTTGAACACTATCCCTCCTGTACGAATTTAGAAACATACATGCATTAAGACAAAAAAACGGATGCTTTACCTTCAGTTACAGGATAGCAGGTGTGGTGCGGAATGAGAAAGGAAGTTTTCCGAGTCTGGCCAGTCTTTACACCAGGTGCTCCTGGGTGATTACTCGCAATTTCGATTTCGATTTCTGAAGCAGAAAAGGGTGCCAGTGAAGCGGACGAATAAAATATAGGTAACATGGTGGTGATGGGTTCTGAAATTGTGGAAACCGTCAGCTTCGTGGGTTCTGAACCCGTGCAATTTTTCTCCACGTTCTTCAGCTTTTCTTCTTTGAGAGAAGCACAGCACAGCACGACTCGCTTTTTCTATTTCTTTTTGTTTTTTTAAATCAGGGGTGTTTTACTATTTCACCATCTTTTAATTAAAATTGTGTGCTTTTATTTTTTTGTTTAACAAAGGGCATATTTGGGGTTTTCAAATGTTTCACCACCTTCTTTCCCTTTTGCTTTATATATATAGATTTTGATTATTGGTCATTGTAACTTGTAAGTTAATTTATAGATATGGAATAATTATGTCATTTTCATTTTCTATTTTACGTTAAATATTTATTACTTTTCCTTAATTATATCTCGGAATTTTCCTGTTTGGTGCTGCGCTTTGGAAGCTACAAAACAATCTTGTCAATTTGTCTTGTATGTTGGTGGGAATTAAATACATCTTATGGATGAAGAGAATTATAAACTTCCAAGCAAGTTCCCAACTTTCTTAAACTTAGTAATTTAAGGATCAAGCATATTGATCCACAAGGACTCTTTTCATTGAAGAACTCTTGGCATCGCGGCCGTCCTTTTGCACCCAGCAACCCCATTCTTTTAGATAAACAGATCTGAAACAAAAATGAAATTTTAAGAATAGAAGAGAAGCCAGCAACCCCATTCTTTTGCACCACCAGTGCTTTCAATCAAAGACTCTTAAAAACCTGTCCAAAAAATCAAAGAAGTCCCCACGCCATTACTATAGATACACCTGTCCATTTTTATGTAACATTAAAAACCTCACATGACAGGACCCGCCCCGGAATTTCCCCCGAAACCGGGGCTGACCCCGTATTGTTGCCGACATCATACTGATGCCGGGCCCACTTACTAAAACCCAAGACATTCTACCAAAATTTTGGCAGAGTCTCCCCTGTAAAATGCTCAAACCAACAATAAACAACCTGCAAAAATTTACATCAATACACAACCCAACTGCCAGCATGCTTTTACAACTACAGTCCAACACAAATGGCCTCCGGCCTCAAGTAGTAGCCTAACATGGGCAATAACAGAGCGTCTACAGAATTTGTTTACAACAAACAGGGGAGTAGAAAGAATTTATACAGACCCTATTAACAGACGACAAGTTCGGAGCTCGTGACTTGCTCGAATGCCTTCAGGAGCAACTACTGTCTGGGGGGCGCAAAACAGAAAGATGTGAGTGGACAGAAATAAAGTTTCACTTTAAAACAACATAGTAACCCCACCATGTAAAAATAATGCTCTAGCATGCAGTTTCACAATTCAGAAACCAAAACTCAAGCACAGAAATCCCAAAGTCCAAAACATCTCCACAACTCAGGCTCACAACTCATTTCCCAAAATATATGCAACTCTCAACACCCCCTAAATACCCATATATAAATATATATATATATATATATAGCTAGGACTCTAGTATAGTATATATATACTCCACTCCATACTAATGTACCGGGGAGACAATCCAACCTGGGGATTGTTAGCTGGTACGCAGGATTTTCGAACCACAAC